CCTGTCCACGCGCAGTGACGGCGGCACGGCCTCCCCGCGCAGGCGCAGTGAGAAGACAACGTCACGTGGTGACGCCGACGACGCGCCAGATCGTCTGCTCGTACCGAGCCGCAGCGGCGGCAGCACCGGCGCCGACGACGACCAGCCGGACATCAGCGGTTCTCCCGCTGCGATGCCGACGGCGCTGAAGTCGCCCCAACATGGCGGCGCCCAGCAGCAGCAGCAGCAGCAGCAGCATGCACTGAAAAGCACTGAAAAATCGGCGGGAAAATCGTCTCTGACGAAAACCGCCAGAGGTTACATCAAGGGCGTCGTTCAGACTGTGAGCAAAGGTGAGCCGCCGACGTCATATCTCGTGTTGCTAGGTGGCAGCACTAATTAATTTCCGGTAGCAGTATCTGATATATATATATATTTATTTTATTTCTCTATATCAGTTCAGGAAAAAAGTGAGGGATGTTAGCTAAATATAAACATAAATAAAAAATTATAACGCCGAGAAAATTTACGAACAGGCTACGTAAAAAGCTTAACAACTAAACAGATATAAAGATAGGACGATACTGTACTTCTATATCTACCCGTACGCAACCTACTGTAGGCAAGTTTCGGCATCTGGACAGAGAAAAACGCGACGATTTCTATCATTCAAAAAACAAATGTAAAAAACTGTATTAAAAAAATTACAAACTGCATTCGTTTAACTCTCTCAAGGTAAAAAGAAGGTGTCGAGAGATGAGAGCCTGGGAAGAGAGGAGTTCTACCAACCCACCCCCGCAGACAGCAGTGATATGCTCCACGGCGACTCCGGAGAGTGGGACAGGCAAACCATTATTCCTAAGTCGGGGGTGGGGTGGTGGGCAGAGGGGACGATGACAATGATGTAATAGGGACAGGCAAACCATTATTCCTAAGCCGGGGGTGGGGTGGTGGGCAGAGGGGACGATGACGATGATGTAATAGGGACAGGCAAACCATTATTCCTAAGCCGGGGGTGGGTGTGGTGGGCAGAGGGGACGATGACGATGATGTAATAGGGACAGGCAAACCATTATTCCTAAGCCGGGGGTGGGTGTGGTGGGCAGAGGGGACGAACGCCTGCCCACCCCTTACATTAGCTTTAACAACGACCACGCGGACAGCAGTGTTTGCAACGCTGACCCACCTCCTACATAGTAACAACGACCAGCGGAAGCATGTGTGCAACGTGACCCACCCCTTACATAGTTAACAACAACCCAGCGGAAGATCGTGTTTGCCAACGCAAATAGTGACGCGGAAAACAGACGAGAAGATTACACCCTAGAAAATAAGTGGTCGTAACGGTATAATTATATATACTATACCCTCGCACCTTGCCCCCGCACCT